CTGTGTGAAGAAATATCTCCACTACACTTGACATATATGGAAACGTTTCTTCTGACTTGGGAAGGAACACCACATGGCTGGGTACGTCGTCAACGGATAGGGAGGAGCATTTTCCGTCATTCTTCGCTAAAAAGGGGGTTGTAAGGGTCTGCTTTTCTGGAAGGGAGCGAGGTTCATCTTTCACAAACGTATTGCTGCTACCTTTTCTTTTTCTTCTAAAAACACACGCATATGATGGGGAACTTGTGAAGAGTGGCTTGATCGCGTGTGCTAGACGTGGCGAGGTTTCTTCCCGAAGCTTTTGCTTATCATGCAAGTTCAGACGGGTACGGGCGGGCATTGAATGTCGACTTGTGTATATTTTTCCTTTCTCGGAGGTCTGGCCTTCTTGATTTTAACGGCTCGGTTTTATGAGTAATGCGACCAACTTTATTTTCTTGCTTCCTCTGCCAATATAAACTTGTGTTCATGAAGGGAGTCGGCTGAGCAAGTTATGTCCAAAGAAGCGGCAGACACGTGACTCCCACGACAGGACACTTATCGCTACAAAGGTGTACATCTTCTCCCTCAGGTTACAAATTCTCGGTAAGTAAGTGAGTGAAGTAAATACTATGAGAAAAAACATTTGTCGCCAACAAAACCTTGTGCAATCGAAACAGTCATGGCAGTGTTAGTAGTAGTAGTGCATCATGTGGCACTGGTATTTGGGAATGTAGCCAAGTAAGCAAGAGTTATTGCTGCTTCATTGGAAACCTAAAATGTTATAAGCCGACAAATTTTTCATGACACAACGATTATGTTGGAGTCGGTATTCTATGTATAGTTATCACAGCACTTATAAAACATTTTTGTAAACGATGTTCCGGACCTTTTCCCGAGAGGACAACACTTTGAGCGATGCAGGGCTGCGTACTCTTGATAATGCTACGTAAAGTTGGCCGTGAGAAAAGACGTCATCAGGGAGGTATACTCCCACCTTTTGAGAGTGTTTGTCCTTGGGCCTTGTTGATGGTAGTAGCGAAGGCAAGACGGATTGGGAATTGACGTCTTCTTAGGCGGAACGGCAGTCCTTTCTCGGTGTAGTTATCGATTCGAGGGAGCAGCACGTACTGATTCCTTCTGCTTCCTGTGGCGAAGCGACATCCGAGAACAAATCGGCCGAACTGGTCGACAATCAGCCTAGTGCCATTGCAGAGACCCTCTGGAGACGTCGAGATTTCGCAGAAGCATTACGATACATCCTTGCTTCAACCTGAGCTCATGAGGAGGCATTCCACTTGGACTCAACTTGTTCAGGAACTCAATTTGATAGTTGAGACCTTCTTCCGGATCCGAATACTCTGCCTCGTCTACACTTTTGTATACTTTCACTTCCAACTGCTCAGACATGCGCTGGAGCGCCAGCTCGTTCAGATGAGCAACGTGCATGTTCTTCGGGGCTAGGATTGCTTTTTCCGCGAGATCTGCAACGTCATCGACCCCAATTCTTTCACCAAAGATCTCTGTAATCAAGTCTCCATTACTTCGTATTTCGGCTGGTAGCTCAATGAAACCGTTCTCGTCTTCTGGATACGTTCCATTGCCAATCTGTATAAGCATGTTCGCCCATCCTGCGCTTTCTGGAGAAGCCCTCATATTCGTTGACAGGTGGAGCGTGACGAAATGCTGCCACAAATGGGAACTTTTAACGCAGGCGCCTTCTAAATCTTCTTGTTGTCCCCTCTCTACGACTGGAAGGACTTGACGGAAGTCTCCTCCTACGATCATCAGCTTCCCTCCGAACGGAAGACATTTTGCATGACGTCCTTGAGCAGAAGGTCTACAGCTTCGAAGGTCCATTTCGGCACCATTGATATTTCGTCCCAAAATATGACAGACACATTTCGAAGAGCTCTCGCTTCTGCAGATTCCCTTTTCATCGCAGACGTTCTGTTATTGTCGTGAATATTGAGTTTGAAAGTGCTGCTAGCCGTTCTTCCTTTGGGCAGCAGGTTAGCAGCTATTCCCGTCCAGGCCACGCAAATGACATTCTTCCTCATTCCAAGCAAAGTATGGTACAAAGCAGTATAGAGAAAAGTTTTCCCACTGCCTCCAGGACCGTCAATAAAGAAGTGCCGATTGTCTCTGTTGCGCACAGTCCTCAAGATGTTATCCGCAGCAGCTCTCTGATGGTCATTCAACTGTTGCATGAGTTGTTCTCCTTGGGCCATGTGCTCAGACTCTGTGAACTCTTCGTCGCTGATTTGCTGTGGTCTCTGATCAGAAGGAGGTCTAATTAGGCTCCTCAAATTGACTCCGCAAATCATCATCTTATCCATGATATCAAAATAAGCACGAACAACTGCTTCTTCTTCATTTGCTCCTCGATGAATGAAGTCCTCCGCCAAGGCTCTCTTGAACTTGTCCCATAATTGTTGAGGCTCGCAAACAGTGCAAAAGCATAGAAGGCTACTGAAAAGGGACCGAAGTTGAGCTGGCATATGGAATTGCGATGCTTCGTTCAGGCAGCTTTCAAAATGAGAGTCGTCGTTCATTAGTCCGAGGGCCTTAGCTGCTTCCTTGAACGTATTCATGGACAACACCATCAACTGTCTTCAAATCGTTGAACGATTTTGGGCCCCTCCTATTCAACAAAAGGATTCGGAGGCTAAAGCGTTCCACATCCAGAGGATTAGCAGTGTACATCCTTCCGATTTGACGACTGTGTCTTCTTCTTGCCTTCCACTTCCTCGCTTGTTGGTCAAATGAGAAAAACTCTGGTACCTGTACGTAAAGCAGTGTGCGAGCATCCTTCTCTCCTTGAGGCACTCCATTTTCGCCATACAAAGTATCGTACTCTTCGTTCAGTTTGAAAAAAGCAGTCAGGGTGGTGTCTCTTTCAGCTGCTCGACGAACTGCTTCTTCTTCTCTACCTTCTTGGAAGGTACATTCTGATAATCTGGCAGATGAACCTGTAACCTGTAAACCGTGTCTGACTTGGATTGAAGGTCGAATCCAAGGAGTCTGTGTACAGCTTCTGGCGCACATACATATCTTGCATTTACGAACTCGTCAATCTCGTTCACCGTTCTGGATTCAGCCTCGTCAGCCCGTGTCATGCGCAGAGCAGCTCGGTCAGGCCCTTTGTACACGTATTTGTACATGTATTTGACGGCTTCGATCATTCCACAGATTTCTACGTTCAAATGGGCGTTATAACGAAGCGCCAAATACCTGTTGTACGGTACTACAGATCGGTTATCAAGAACTTTCCCACCGGAGATGCACGTTCTGCCATCATTCGGTCGACGATACTCCGGATATCCGTCTACCTCTAAACTTGTTGAATCCCGGAACTGCTTCGGGAATCGTTTGGAGCATCTTCCATCAACCATACACGGCGAATGCGGATTATCCACTCCACAGGGTCTGTGCATCATACACGTCGTCACAATACTGTGGAGGCGAGGTTCCGTGTTCTGATCAGGAATAACAGCTTGCACGATGGAATCTACATCAGCAATGCTTCGCGGTTTGTCTTCCTCTGCCTAATGTAATCAACATGTGGCAGTGCGGGAGTCCTCGCTTCTGCCATTCCATTACGGAGATGTACGCATTCACAGCTCCGAATATCTGCCTCTTAAAGAGATCACAGTAAAGTTCTTGCAACTTGATGTTAAAAACGCGAGCAATGATGTCCGGTCTGTCGGAAGCTGTCTGTCCAGGAATGCAGTTGCTCGGCGATCTCTCTCCACGTCGGGATTACACGTAAAAGTAATGAAGAGGTCTGGCTTTCCATATTTCGACACAATGGCCATCGCATCTTGATAATTCTGACCATTGCGCGAGGCGATCCTGGGAATGAAGACGGCAGAATCACTCGCCTTACTCCTGGTGGCCTCCGATGTCGTTGTCACCGGCCACATAATCAGCTAGCCCGCGATAGCTGTCCACTCTGAGTTCCATTTGATGAGTGCGATCATAGTTTAGTCGGATTCTGCTCAATTTTAACATAACTGTCCACCTAAAAATTGTTGGTAAAGCTTCCCGGCAGAATGAAGGGGGTTGAACTCGTTTCTGGAAGCTATCATGCTCGAGTAGTACTCCTTCTGCGTGATTCTGACTCGACGCCTTTCAGAGGGATTTTTGAGCATGTTCGGATGCCACCCTGGTTCTCCATGCGGGAAAAAGTATTGGATAGGTGAGTGGGTCGCATTCAGGATCGATAACACGAATGGTTTGCAGTCCTCCTGTTCTTAAGTGCACTGCAAGATTATGCTCAGTGGGAACATCTCCATCATCTCCAACATATATCACGGCAACTTCATTGGTTATTGGAACGTTGTAGCGACGTCGGTCCATGTTAGCCGGTGTTTCGAATACCATTCTCACTGGTTTCGCTGATCTCCCTTCCCTTGCAGCTTGCAACTCTTCCTCTGTAGCCACCTCATTCATCATTTTGTATGCTTGTGCAAAAGCGTTGATTCTATGCAGAAGTTCACTCAACGAATGCATCAGGCGAGGGTTGCAGCTAGCGTTGGCTGGATTTCCCATCCTTTCCTCTGCTGCCATTGACGTGTCCAGAATGTAGACCTGGCCGTATCGGTGGGGATGACCGTTCCTCCGGACGCGCAGGTCCTATTCTGTGGTAAATTTGGCCATGGAATGCGGAAAGCAGTAAGGGCCATGTCCACGTGGGGTATCCAGCTGTGCACCCATAGAGGCAAATGCAAACGCGCTATTGTAACTACGAATATGCTCACGGAACTCCTTTGCTTCAGCTTCCTGACTTGTGAGCAGTCGACGTAGCTCCGCAGGATAGTTGTGGAAAGTGCCGCAAAGTGATGCTGCCATGATTGCAGCAATCGTTGAATGTTGCCCTCCCTTTCGATTCTGATCTGAAATGCTTGGCACCACAACTTCCCACAGAATACATCCATCTGTCCACAGTAATGTTCATCCGGGTTCGCATTCGTTCTACCTATCCCTCGTGTTTGTAGTGCGAAAGCAGTATTACGACTGTGATAGCGTCCCGCTTCAACACGTCGTCTTTCTTGAGTTTCCGCCAGTGTTTCTCGACTCCTCCGAGTTTGCTCCCGCTGCGCTGAGGCAAGGTTGCGCTGTTGTCGCTGCTCCTGATGTTCTTGCTCCCTACGTTGTCTTGCTCTTATTGCATCCACCGTTCTTCGTAATTCTCGATTTTCTTCATTTTCTTGCTGCCTCCTGTTTCTTGATCTCTCCGCTTCCTGCGTCAATCGAGTGGTCCTTCGCTCCTCGTCTTCTGAGCGTCGTCGAGCTCGAGCTCTCGCAGCGTCTTCAGCCAGACGTGCTCGTCTATCAGCGCCGTCCTCCAAACGTCTCCGAATCCGAGCTCTATCGGCGTCCCTTGATAGACGCTCTTCTCTTTGCTCCTCATCTTCGAGTTCTCGCCGTATTCGAGCTCCCTCAGCTAGTCCCGCCAGTCGCGCTTCTCTATGTCCCTCATCCTCTCTTTCCCTTCGAATTCGAGCGCTCTCAGCAAGTCTTATTAGGCGCGCCTGCCTATGTTCATCATCCTCCGCTTCCCTTTCAGTTCTAACGATCTCAGCAAGTCTTGCTAGGCGCGCCTGCCTATGTTCATCATCCTCCAATTCCCTTCGAATTCGTGCGCGTTCAGCAAGTATGCCAGGCGCGCTTCCCTGTGCTCCTCATCCTCCAGTTCCCTTTCATTTCGTGCTCTTTCAGCAAGCCTCGTCAAGCGAGCACCTCGTTCATCTTCGGTTTCTAGATGCCTGCGGATTCTAGCCCTTTCCGCGACTCCAGAAAGTCGAGCATCTCTCTGCTCTTGCGACTCTTGTGCACGCCTTCTCCTTCTTTGCTCAGCCTCCCGCTGAAGTCTTCTTTGTCGCTCTTCAGCAGTCTCATTTTCTCTCCTAGCCCTCTTTCTAGCAGCTTCCCTCTCTCTATAACTTAGAGGCTCACTTTCTGTCTCGTCTCCAGGCTGCCGTCTTCGCCTAAACACTTATAAGCAACCTTGTTACTATCCAAATTCTTTTTCTAATGGAGAAGTGCTCAGTGCTGCAGGTAAGGCTCCAACTTAGTTTTTTTTTGCGAAGAATAGGCTCGATCGTAATATACGACTGGCAGATAAATTAAATTTTCAGATCCATTTTATGCACAGAGCTTTGCGAGCTGAAACCATTTTTTTGGCCCGACCATGAAACAAACGTACTGACAAACTACCGGTTGCCCTCACTCATGGCAACTATTCATTTGGTTGATTGATCTATCCTCTACATGCTAGTAATCTTCATTGACTGTTATAGAATCGATGGCCCACATTTGAAAAGGGGAGTTCGTCAAGGTGGATGCTCTTAGAATTTCAGCAGAAGACGTTGCTAAGGATTATGCAAGAACCGCTGATGGCTCTGTGACACAATGGTAATCGAGCGAAATTATGTGATACTGGCCCGGACCACGGATCTGGAACGGAGCGCAAAAGGGGAATGCGGTTCTATTAACTTAAGGAATAGAGTTGATGTACAAAAGACGCCTCTTTTTGGAGATTAAAAGCTGCTGCTCACGAAACTTCTTGGAAAATTCGAAATTCTTTTGGCGTAGGATAATGGCTAACCTCCCTTGTTCCTGAGTCGATTGCGAAAAGCTTGATGTATTGTCACAGTCCATCACGCTGACGGTTTTCGAATGAAAATGACATTACACTTAGAGGTTAAACGATTAGAATT